TGTATTCCGTAATAAGAATGGGGGATTGCCATTTGAAAAAAATATCGATTGCGTCATAACTCGTTAAACCGTTTAACGGGTAAATTATTTTTTCGTTTTTAGAAACGATTTAGTTATGGTAATGCAACTATTTGACCTTATTGACAAGTGGTCTCTATAAAAGCCGCTAACCGTTAAAGGGTTAAAAATGAGGGAACAATTTTGAAATCTATACCAAAAAATTGCACAAAAGTTAAATCTTTAGACCGATTTCAGGGATTTTTCCATAAATCGTTTATAATGATTTTCACTCAGGTCGTCGTGACAGACCCTGTCACAAATGGGAGTTAACTAGAAACAGAAAAATCCACAACGTTAGTAGTTTTTGGCACAAAACGTGTTTGTGCAAGCGCGCGATCGCCGCGTGTTATACATCACTAGAAAGAGCAGGAAATTTCCCATACGATAGATATGGTTCTAGAGTTTTCTCCTGCTCATATAAGAAAGTTGTTTAGAGGAAGAATACTTAAGCGTTTCTGCGTGTAGAGATGGACATTAAGGGTGATTTAAGCATGACGCCGATAGATATTGACCGACGAAAACTCGGATTAAGATAGCTGAAGGAGCGCCCTTTCTGACTGTGATAACAGTTTTTTAAAATTCGGTTTCGTAACAATTGCACAAGGCCTTGAAGTTTGGTAATTTTGAGCTATTTTAAGTACAGCGCGGTGTTCTTCATTTTTATTGATCTTAATATCAACTTATCGGCAGACGAAAACCCGCTTTTAGATAGAGAAAGATTCAAGCTTTCAAGTGGTGCATTTAGTTTTTCGCTATCCCTAATTATAAGGAAGATATCAGCTAAGAAAGTAAATAGGAAATTACGGGTAAAAGTTTGTTGCTATCGTCGCACGGGTAAATTAGTGATGTGCTAAAAGAACAAGGTTTAAAATATCAGCTTTCTAATATTATTTAAGTATAAATACCAACTTCATCTAAAAAAATAACTGGTTTTTATGTAAACCCCAAAATAATAGAACAAACAAAGAAAAGTAGACGACGAATGAGAAAATATATATGTAAATAGTAAACAATCACACTGTGCGTTTGTTAAAAAAAGGTAATACGCATGCATTTTATACCTCTATCTTCAGCTGCGGACGTGTCTTCAGCTGTGTATGGGAAAACAAATAGTTTGCACAAATTTGTTACAATCTAAATTCGAATGTATAAAAAAAAATACTTACATTCGACGTCGCCGGTTGGAAGTCGTCCATCGACGTAATCGTTTTCAGAAATGCAATCTAAAATACTTAGTAACGTTTTCGTTAAACGCAATAAATCCCAAAAGCTATAGAATCCGAAGTAGATCAATTCTCTGGCCAATTTTACGACTTCGAATGTTAGCTTGTTTTGTTCTTGATCGGAAAACGACCACATTTTCGCGACTACGTTACATAAATAATCTTCTACAAAGGCGATCGTTGAACAAAATTGTGCTCTTACTGCTTCTTTATTCGGATCTGGTGTTTTATTATTATCATAACTAAAAAAAATTAATTCGTTAACGAATTGAGGTGATGTAGTAAAACACTTACTCTTGTATAGACATTTTTGATGGAATTTCTGACCAAAGCCTTGCATATTTAACTGGAGTAACTGGTTCTTGAGGATCTCTATCAACGTGTAAATGCAACATAAGTCGACAAAAAGACGCTCGAAGTTCATAACTAACGCTTTCGTCCGACATACATTTTAAAATCAGATCTATATCCAAGTGAGGTGAGAGATTGTTCAGTGCAAGGTATTGACGATTTAAACACATATTCGAAAACAGATCTAATTGGTGACAATAATAATCTAAAATTGCTTGACTATCGCGATTGCCCATTTTGGCTTCTCGACACAAATCGCTTAAAGAAGCCGATTTTTGCCGATTATTCCACAACAACATCACGTGGCATTCTTCGACGAAAGTTAGAAGTGGTTCTAATTCGGCTTCGGCTTCGTCTTCTTGAAGCTGTTCGATTTGCGTCCGCATCATTCGAGTTTCAATGAGTATATCAGAATTTTTAGCGCTTAAAACGCTTTTACAGATCAATTCTTGAGTAACGGGAATCGCCTTTTTGTTTGAAATGCACAGATCAGAAAGATAATCGAGAAAACGCGACTCCCAGTTGTGCATATTTTTCCGTACCAACCCAACAAACGTTTCTATTTCCGCTGCCGTTATGTGCTTCTCGAGCAACTTCCGGTTGTTGTGCAATAATGCGGTTATTGTATCTTCTGCGAGAATATCGTAACCAATTTGTTTTTGCATAAAACCAAAATGTTTTGCGATGTATTCCTAAATAAATAAATATATGCAATAAAATATAGTATACAGGTGTTTTATTTAGTTAGTATGAATGTGGTTTACTTGATTTTTTCTGTAATCTTGTTGGCTTAAACGAAGTATTCTGTAACACAACCTAAAAATGTATTTGTATGGACCATGTCTTGGGTCGTTTAATTCATCCAAACGTAAAAATGGTTGCTCTCCATCTGTTTCCATAAAAGGGCCCTATTACAAGTACAATTAAAATATTATAACTATTAGAAATCTAAATAATTGTAGTACCTGCAAAATTTTAAACAGTTGTTTTAAAATCGCTTGTTCTCTAAGTAACTTTTGCCGATCCCTATTCGGATTAGTAATGGCTAATTCTAAAGCTTCCGTTTTGTTTTGTTCATTCTCTAATTCCGCCACGAAATAAACAATATCTTGTAGCAAATTCGTAACCGCCCTAAAAAATAACTTTTTTAACTTTCCAAACTTGAATCTGCTGTTGCGTCAATAATGTGTTTTAAGTATTGACTTAAAATTATTAATCACCTGAGTATAATTCGTTTTTCTATATATACATGAATTAATTTATAGTGAAAATTTATAACAACAATCTCAATAAATAAAAACTATACCTTCTTTCATTATGAGATATCGTTCCTTTTTCCAATCTGAGAGATAACGATGACAAAAGTTTACAAGCATCATTTGCAAAATCTAAATCGCGTACTTCAACGGGAGAAACGGGGATTAAAGCGAATGCCTCCTTATCTTCCTTGGTCAGTGCACAACCAACTTTAGACATAACAGGTTTTTCTTCATCTTTATCAATTGGTACCGATGTTGAATGTACCCATGTATTGGTAACAACGTGGTGTAACCTTACATAACTCGATTGCGGGATGAGGGAATCACCGCGAGTTAACGTCGTTGGATCTAATTCGAAAAGTAGACAAATTTCGTTAGGGCTAACATAAGGTATCAAATGATAGTTTGGTCCATCAACGTGATCCGAGCGGAGTTTTTCGTTTGGTTCGTTGTTATCAGCGTCGACGGTTGCAGCTAAATAATGTCCGGTGGCGAGATGTTTAAACCGAAACAACGAGTTCCAATGTCCGGCTCCACCACGACATGGATCATGGTGAATGACTTCAATTTCCCATAAAGCTTTACTACTTGTCGCTGCCGTTGCGCTTGTTCTACCGGTTGTTCGTAAAAAAACATGTTGAGTTTTTTTGTACTCATCCATCGTGAGGAACTTTTCTTGTTCCGCGTGAAACAACCGTACGACGTCTCCACCTTTTAAGACATCTTCAGCGTTTTCGCGGTGTTCTAGAAACAGAGTAATTTTCCAAGAAGACGTTCCGTTTACTACATTAACTTCTTTACAACCAGGATTATCAGGAAGTTCATGATTGGCGGCAACGTGAAGTACTTGTTGCCCGGTATTAACCGGATTTAATATTACTTTATCGCCGAGGACTATGTTATCACCATTTGCGCGTAATTTATAAAACGGTAAGATGTAAAACCAGGAACCTTCATTTCCGTTGCCATCCAAGTAAACTCGCATCGCGTTCTTTTCTAGCAACGCCGGCAAACGTTTGTTTACGGTTAAATATTTATTGGATTTTAAATGTAATAGCTATAAAATAAATATCGTTTTAGTTTATCGGGGAAAAATCGTTTTAAATTAAAATTACTTGTACTGAGATTCCGTAATGCACATTTGAACCTAGCGTTTTCTTATGTTCGGTATCGTTTTGTTTCTTTTCGATTTCCGCTGCGTGCTATATTGGAGAAGATCAAAGAAAATTGTTATACAAACATTTTTTGCCTATTTCTTAATATCCCAAAAGATGTTGAATAAAATATGTAAATATATTTGAATATTAATTAATGATGGTATTTCTATGTTTAGAATGTAAATATATTGATTTAATACATATATTTTATGACCATTCTATACAGTGTGTTTGATTATAATTGTAACAACAGATATCTTGACCATATTGATCCATATCACTGAGGATTCTGCTTGAAGTTCATGGAAGAAATAATCTCGGCCGACTTCGAAGACGTCGGCCGCCCCAAGTATTATGAACAATACAATAAGTCTACCTTGCTTAAAATTTATGGAAAAATAATCTCGGCCGACTTCGAAGATGTCGGCCGCCCCAAGTTGTATTGGTGATATAAGAAATAATCTCGGCCGACTTCGAAGACGTCGGCCGCCCAAACTATCGTTAATGATACTACTTGGTGAGGCCGACGTCTTCGAAGTCGNCCCAAATATTGTTCGTGATGTAAGAAATCATCTCGGGCGACTTCGAAGACGTCGGCCGCTCAAAGTAGTGTCATTAACGATAGTTTGGGCAGCCGACGTCTTCGAAATCAGCCGAGATTATTTCTTATATCACGAATACAACTTGGGGCGGCCGACGTCTTCGAAGTCGGCCGAGATTACTTGTTCCATAAAGTTGTTAATAGTAAAACCAACCCAACCCAAGCATTATTCGTGATATAAGAGTAATCTCGGCCGACTTCGAAGACGTCGGCCGCCCCAAATATTGTTCGTGATGTAAGAAATCATCTCGGGCGACTTCGACGACGTCGGCCGCTCCAAGTAGTGTCATTAACGATAATTTGGGCAGCCGGCCTCTTCGAAATCAGCCGAGATTATTTCTTATATCACGAATACAAGTTGGAGCAGCCGACGTCTTCGAAGTCGGCCGAGATTACTTGTTCCATAAAGTTGTTATTGTAAAACCAACCCAACCCAAGTATTATTCGTGATATAAGAGTAATCTCGGCCGACTTCGAAGACGTCGGCCGCCCCAAATATTGTTCGTGATATAAGAAATCATCTCGGCAGACTTCGAACACGTCGCCCACACCAAGTAGTATCATTAACGATACTTTGGGCGGCCGACGTCTTCAAAGTCGGTCGAGATTATTTCTTATATCACGAATACAACTTGGGGCGGCCGACGTCTTCGAAGTCGGCCGAGATTACTTGTTCCATAAAGTTGTTAATGATAAAACCAACCCAACCTAAGTATTGTTCGTGATATAAGAAGTATTCTCGGCCGACTTCGAAGACGTCGGCCGCACCAAGTAGTGTCATTAATGATACTTTGGGCGGCCGACATCTTCGAAATCGGCTAAGATTATTACATTATTTTTCTCGATATTTAAGCATCCGAGAGCAAAAATGATCTTAATGAACTTAATTATTCTATAAGTTTTTTTGTAGTATACTCCGAATATCGAATATTTTATCATAAAAAATTGATTAATATATCTTAATTATTTTCTTAATTTCTTACCTTTGTTTGCTGCGTAGACGTCGTCTGAGATATTTCTTCCATAAACTTCAAGCAAGGTAGACTTGGTTTCACGTTCCGAATCCTGAATAATATCAAATTTTCCTATTTTTCTCGATATTTACGCATCTGTGAGCAAAAGTGAAAGAAGGATCTAATTAAGGTTTGGATTAGAAGAAAAAAAAAGAAATATAATAGTGAAATTGCTACATTTCCAATACATCAAATTGTTTAACAAATTCAAATAAACATTTACAATAAATTCAAATATACAACCATTAACCTAGTGTATTAACCATTGTACATAACTGTAACAATAAAAAAAAACAATACAATTTGGATTGTTAAAGTACATTTTAAAGACTATGAAAGTATTTAACAATTGGTAATAAAAAGTACGATTAGTAAACGGTTTCAAAATGTGTTTTTTTCCTATTTCACAACATAAATCTAGAAATAAGTTTGTCTTTTTTTGAAAAAGTTTTCTTAAAAAGCAAAAAATGAGATATTTTTAAGATCGATTTGTTTTTATCTTCTTTTAGTACAACGCCAAGAGTTTTTTTTGAGTATTCTTATAAAAAGAATTTTTTAAGATAAAGAGATTCATTTAAGTTTTACTGAGAACTACAACAACAACTCCATCATCATAGAATTCCATATTCTAGATACTCTAGATACATCTACTAATAACCTACGATATATTTGGCGTTTGAAACAATGCCGACGCAGAATTCAACAACCCAATCCTTTGCTTTTGCTTCCGTTGTTCCGCCATTTGGTCTTTTAACTCCATCAATTGTTGCGATAAAGTTTGCACCAACACTTGCGTCGTTTCTAGTTGTTGCTGAAGACTGCGCAATTCAATTTGCTCGCCATCCCCTTCCACCGAAGCCAAAGACATTGCACGTTTTCGTGGAAACCATTCCAAATTCGATGCTTTTACCATCGATGATACATAACTTTCTGGACCCGTAAATTCCGTCGGATCTTTCACTTTTATCAATACTATGAAGTGAAGGTAATGCCACATATTGTGTTCACCTTTGATATGTTGTTCAAAACTTACAGTTTTATTATCAAATGCAGAACGATTTAATCCTACAACGATAAGAATTTTTTACTATATTACATCGATATTTATTAATAAGTACCGCAAATAAAGCACGTATTTTTTAATGTAAGTTCCTTTTGTTGTTTTTCCGATCTTAAATCGGCGAATGTATCGATGATGACACCAAAAATAAGATTAAGTACTATAATGATGACGATAAAATAGAAAAGGAGATCGTAAATAACCCGGGCTACAAAAAGCGCTTCCGTGCTGCTCCGAGCACGCAATATATCCCCGATTCCACCTCCATTTCTCAACCCTTGGTTAAGAGTGGTCAAGATGCACATTCTCAATGAATCGCAAGCTCTCTCTTTCGTTTCACCTTTCTCCCCATCCGTTGAATTACTAACAGCTAAAATAATCGTTAATTATTCAAAATTTTCTAATACAGCAAAATAAATTTGTGTGTTAATAAAAGGCTCACATCAAAATCAATCAGTAATAAAGTTTAATCTAATTTTCTAAGATGCATCAAACTCAAAAAAATCACAAAAATCAAATTTTACCTTAACCAAAAATTGCGCAACCCTAATTACAATGTGAATAATATAATATACATATAAATAAATATACGCTGTTTTTGATATTGTTTGGTTAAATACTTACGATCTTCGTCGACGTTGAGTAAGAAATCGTCCTTGAAAAACATGTAACCGATTATTGAGAACATGTAGACGAGTATTAACGCTAAAACGGCCGTTAAAACGATGGAACGTCCGTTTCTTGTTACGGAACGGATTACGTTGAGAAGAGTTTCTTCGCGATAAACAACATCGAATAACTAAAAAAAAAATAATAATAAATTATAATTTTATAGATTTATGGTTTTGTGCTCACCAAAACAGAATAAAAGAATGGATTTATAACGATTCCTAATATACAAAATATAAGGTAACCCATATGATATAAAAGTTCAGCATCGGTGACGATCTTATGAACAGGTTTAGTGTGCGTCCCATGATTTCCCATGATGCTAAATAAATGAATACCTTTGAGAAGCACCGTTAAAGTACCAAGAACTATCAACGTTGATTCTGGGCCGAGCGAAAATATAAGCCGTAGAATTGTAGATGCGACTAATGTCCTAATACCCGGCTCACGAGGTAGCTTAAATACTATACCCGCTGCTGTCACCATTGTTATCCAAATTATACCCGACATTGTTGATCCTAATTCTATATAAAAAAGTATTATTTAATAATATTAATAATAATAATTAATAATTTACCTGGTAATGGATTATCAAAAGGATAAAACAAAGCCATAATTAAATTGATAAGTACGGCACAATTAAATAATATATTACTCCAAAGTGACATGTAATTGCTGACCCAATACAAAATCGATTGTCCCCTAAGTTTTTTCTGCCATTTCATTTCGTTAAACATCGAATCGGTTCGTTCGAAAAATTCGCAAACTTTCGAACCTTGATCGTCTTTTTCGACGGTATTAAGTACTTTACCTTTGGTGTCTTCTGTAATGTACTCGCAAATTTCAGGAATAGGAAAAACGATACGCTCCAATGTACGATCTTGTCGGACAATTTCTATTTGAGCTGTACGTTTTTCATAAAATCTCAACGCGTCCGCCGTTTTTTGGTCCGTAGCCGGATCTGTCGGTTTTAAAAGAGCCGCTAAATCTTTGTTATGTTGGGCTAGTTGATAAAATAATATGTAAATGTTATGTCCGACATCGCGAGGTGAAACTCCGTTATCGCTTCCGTTATCATCGTCGTCATCGTCATCTAAAGCTTCTTGATGGAATGCTTTACAAGCGACATCGACGAGTTGTTTTGGGTTCATGTTAAACAATATTCTTTCGGCGTTTTCAGTATCTCCACGACTTTCCATGATGGCAAGTAACAATTTTGAGGCGTTATTTTTCAACTCTAAAATAAGATCCATTCGAGATTTTCCTAAAGGGTTAATATCATTTAAAATGAGAGCGGTTATAATATCGAGGCCGTTCGATTCTTGCGTTGCTATACAATTTTGGTTTTCATGACATGGCCCTTGGCAATATTCCGTGAGCGTTTCTAACGTTTGGTTTATTAAAGCAACGTTATTTTCGTTTATGTAAAGACCTAAAAGTCCTAAACCACCGGTTGTTGAACCACAAATACAATCGAGAAATAGGAGAGTTTCGGATACTAAGTTGTAATGAGTTTTATTATTTTGGTTTCTTAAGAGGTTTTGTAGTGATGAATTGTGGTTTTCGCAAAGTAGTTGTAAAAATCTTAAAATTGGTTGCATTATAAGTACTTTAGTTGATAAGACGTTTTGGTCGTCTTGTTCTCGGTGTCGCTCTAATTTTTCTGCTAATAAATCTTCGAATGTTGATATAGCCCCGGTTGGAACAGCCCCGTTTTCGTCTCCCGCTGTTATGTTTCTAACATGAGCGTAACTCATCCCCGTTGATTCAGCAGCCCTATTTAATTGCTCCCTTAAATCGTCGCTTATTGAAATACCGTTCGTTTTATTTGGGTATTTTCTGTTTAATTTATCGGATTCTTTAGTGTCTTGTTTATCATCGTGAGCTTTTACCGTCATATCGGAGGTGTTTACGGTTACCGTTGATTTAATTTCTTGTTGGGCATCCCTCATTTTTTCATAAAACACTTTAAAGAACGATTGACTAAATTCGCCGCGTAATAATTTTTTATACATGCTTTTTTGTATAATCGGATTACCCCCTTCTAAAAGCGCAATCCCTAACAAAATCGCCTCCTCAAATATCGAAGGAGAATGCACTGATTTTATAACTAATTCAACCACGAGATTTGACGCGCCCTCTTTATCAAGGTGAGTTTGTACTTCGTGTAAAGTACGACCGGCTCTACTTAGTATTTTTGCTAAAATAAACATTAATTTATTAATTAATTCAAAAATCGGTTATTTAAGTTACCTCCAGGACCGTGCATTGATGTTGAATATTTAAAAGTGTTAATATCGAAGGTTTCGTGTTTTAAAATAAAGGATTTTCCGAAATAACGTGCTAATAAACTATTACGTAATACTTCACCCTGCAATTAAACAATAAATTAAATAAGAAATAAGAAATACAGTAAAAATTCGATATAATCGATCTGGTTAGAACGGACTTATATTTTTATTGAACTAAAAGTGCGCGGGCACTTTGCCGCCAAAGTATAACGGACATCAAAACCATGCAAAACAAGTTTAGTCGCTTCCCGCGCAAGATGTGTTAAGACCGAATGTTTGTAGTTTTAGTTGTTATTAAGTGCTACATTGTTGTATACTTAATTCAGTATTACTTTTAATCCGTTATATCGATATTTTACTATATTTAAAATTATTTGAACGAATTGTAAATGAATTGTAACTAACCAAAACGAGGTTCATACATACTTACCGCTTCATTTTTAATAACTTTTTCACCCTTTTTACGTAAGCAATAAATACAAAAACTGTTGATCAAATAAAGTTCAAAATAAAAATGGTTTAAATTACCTTTTCGCCATAATCAGGATCAATAGCCATCATTTCGCGCAACGTCTTTAAAACCTTCACGCAGAGCTTATCTTCTTTCTCCTCTAAAAGTTTTTCGGTGTGCTTTATTAACCTACAAATGAATCCGCCGCTTTCGCATTTTTTTCGCGCCTCCGTTCCGGGTGGAAACAATAATTCTGGTCTGTATAAAACGTCGACCAGCAAAGACAACTCAGATTGGACCAACGGTTTTAATTGATCCTCCAGTAATGAGACGATATCTTGCAAGCCTTCGATAATACTGCGGTCTAATCTCATTAATTGCGATTGAGAACGTTCGATTTTTGGGCTTTTCGAGGCGTGTAACCATTTACTGGTTTGTTTTGATAAAATCGTTGCTTTATTAAACATTGCTACCACTTGACTTTCTAAATCTAATGGTATTGCTATTCCTCTTTTTTTCGCTATTTATTAAATTAACAAAAATAAAAACAAATTATTTGTAATAAGAGTAGAATTAAGTACATACCGACTTCAGATAAAGTACGTATACAATTTTCAACATTGAATCTTTGAGACGCTGATAACCAAGGGCATTGGGTTACTCTGAAGGCGGATTGTAAAAGTTGCACAAAAATTGGTTGACGGGTCTGAAAGGCGATTTTAACGTTATTAATAAAAAAGTTTTAATTTGTTGGTATTATTAGGGTTTTTTTAATGAATAAACGTTATTTGTTAATATATTTACGCTCAATCGGTTTCGGCTCGTCAGGATCAATTAATCGAGTTGAAATATCAACCTTATTTTTACGTTTATGGAATAAATGAAGTATTAGAGAAAAGCATGGACAATTTATTAAATAAATGAAGATAAATTTTGCACTACCGAAGCAGGAAAGAAATCGAGAAATTACTTACGTTTTGTGGAAACGGCGCGTACTTTAACGGGCCGTTTACCGAAAAAGGATCGCAGTCGTCGATTGCGGAATCGCTCCAAAAAACCCTCGCTTCATGCAGATGTTTCTACCCATCACCCAAGATAAATACCAAAAAAAAATGTTTACTGGCTGTATTGATAGCTATAACTACTACTATTACTACGATTTTTACTACTCTAAATAAGACAATTTAAATAAAAAAAAATTGTGATTGAAAATAATAATTCAACACTTGCGTGATTCACTATCAATACAACTTTTGGTTAAGAGAATGCAAAAAGCAAATTAAGAATTAAAAAAAAAATATTCTAAAAATATTCGAAATAAAAATAATCATGCATTTTACCCAAAAAATTAAAAACTCAACAAAATTAATACCTGTACTGTAGTGCTTTGATGAGAAAATGGACTACTAAAAAACGTCGAAATAATATTCATAACACCATTAGTAACATAATTTTCTAAAGCCTTATCCGGATGTTTGCGATCATGAGGTGCAGTCGCAATATCGGCCATATCAACAAGAAAAGAATTTTCGAACAAACTCCACATATGATTTGAGGTGTAAATTTCCTTCATTTCAACTTCTGTATCGATGTAACAATGATTTAAAAAACCCACATAGGCTTCTTTCACCTCTGGAATACAATCTCGATGAGTTACCATCGCCACAATATCATCTAATGGGAGTAAACTATGACATTTTATTTCCGTATACACATTTTTGCCCATTGTACAACAAGCAAGAAGTTTTACAAGCTCAACATGGTAACGAAGAGGACTTCCTTCATCCATGCTATGACGTTCTGAACGCATCATCTCAATGAAATGATTAAATGATGCTTTATCGTTATAAAAAACTAAAACGTCTTCACCGGCATTTATCAACTACAAAAATTAATAATTAAATTTATTTTTTTAAATTAAAAAAAAATTAATACCTCTTGCATAACTTTATCTTGACACTTTCGTATAAATTGATTCTCAGCTTTAACGATAGTTTGTAAAAATTTTAAATATTGCACGTGACGCCCATGGCTTTCAATACAATGCACAAAATGTTGTATGACTTTTTCGTTGACTTCATTGCACAAAGTGTGGTTGTCTTGGAATATTGAGCAAACGGTTTGAGCTTCTCTGATCTACAAAAAATAAGTTATATCGATTTTATTGCAATATTTATCGACGTACCCCGGGGTTTAAAAACAAATCCAAATGTTTATACAATAATACTTGATTTTGTTGGTTTCCCAAACAAAAGTTTTGTAAAAATTCGTGTGCCAGTCGCATTAGTTCGTTCATTCTCACATCTTCTTTTTCATCGTAAGGGATTTGTAATAAATCCAAGACAACTGTGTGTACCCCAACGTTCCTAAGAAGACGTTGTTCGTGTTTTCTTGGTTTCATCGTTCCAGTAACCCCTTGAGCGCATAATTTATTCATACGAATCAAAATTTGTTGAATTTTTTTGTATTCATCCGCTTGATCTGGATGTAAAGGTGGCCCAACGTCTAAATTAATTGCAGAACCTTTCTTTTCAATCGAACTTAGCACAGGAGGTGATTTTCTTGGAGTAACTTCTTCTTCTTCTTCCTTGTTCTTTTTAGTTTCAGATGCCGCGTGATCTTCCACACATTTTGATTTATAGACCCAAAGTTCTGATTTTTCAACTGATTGACGCAGAACATCCAAATCAACTTTAATTTGTTTGTAAGACTCAACATCGCTATCGGAAACTAACAGTTGTACTTGTCTGAAAGCTTGCAATACTTCTTGTCTTTGACTAAAGTGGCGAAATAATAAATGTAGAGCACCGGAAACTAGCTGCGGGTAATCATGCATCGTTAAGTGCAATAAAACGCGTAAAAATGTTCGTCCACCGTGCCCATCAAGATCTAATTCAGTGCATTCTTTGGTGCTACCAAAAATTCCTTCAGCTTGACTTCCAATCAATTCTAAATCAATATTTTTTTGACCAAGTTGTAACGAGTCACCGGAATTTTTTTCCGACTCATCAAATTCTTGTTTAAAAATACTTAATAAACAACTAATTCGAAAATCTAGTCTTACATCCAAAATAAACTAAAAAAAATCAATTATTAAGTGAAAATATTAATTTATTTATCACCTGTAATATTTCGATAATTTTTAATTTCGTATCCATAACTAAAGGATACTCTTTTAAATACTGAGTGTTTTTGTTGTGCTGATTAGAATTAGTGGAAACAACGGATCGCCCAACGGGTCCTAATGCAAACGATGACATTACAGCGCCCATATCTCCGATTGTTCTCAGAACGCCACCTTCAGCTTTAACAGAATCGTTAACGATGAATAATTATAAAATAGTCATTTCACAAAAAAATAAACAAACAAAATTAAAGTCAAAGAAAAGATAATAACTTAGGGTTTAACTTAAAACCGGTCATAATCCTTTATTAAAAGTGTATCAAAGCTTATATTTTAAGATGATAAATCTAACAAGAAAAGGCTCAAAAGTGTCAATTTTAACCAAAGTATTACTAGGAATATAAAAATATATGATTTAGGGTTAACATGGCTTAGAAAAGATGCTACACTAACTTAATGAACATGGATTAGGTTGGGTTAATAATTTATTAATTATAACCTCGGGGATTCTCGGCAGATTATTACAAAAGTTGAATATTCTATAAAACCTGCTTCATCAGTGAACAGAATGTTGGTTAAAAAGACTAGGCGTTGAGCAACTTCCCGTAAAAATTGATAAAATATTGATGTTGCGTGGTAATCTGGAGAAATAAGGACTTGTACACGTAGGAAGTTGTACCCACTTGAGCCGAAATTCTTCTCACACTTGCTTCGTGTTTTTCCTAAGTATTGTTCGTGATACTGATGATGCTTGGGGCGGCCGACGTCTTCGAAGTCGGCCGAGATTAGTTCTTATATCATGAACATAACTCGGTGCGGCCGACATCTTCGAAGTCGGCCGAGACTATTTCTTCCATAAATTTCAAGCAGGTTAAGAGAAATAATCTCGACCGACTTCGAAGACGTCGGCCGCCCTAAGTATCAAAAAATAATTGCTACTTAAAAATAAAATTTTAATTTGTCACTCATGAGCCTATCATTGTAAAAAGTATAGTAAATGGCTGTAGGAGGGTTAAAATGATGACACGATGAAAAATGATAAAATTAGTGACCCGTGCGACAATAGCAACAAACCTCCCAGCAACAAACTTTTACCCGTAATTTCTTATCTACTTTCTTAGCTGATATCTTCCTTATAATTAGGGATAGCGAAAAACTAAATGCACCACTTGAAAGCTTGAATCTTTCTCTATCTAAAACCGGGTTTTCGTCTGCCGATAAGATATTAAGATCAATAAAAAATGAAGAACACCGCGCTGTACTTAAAATAGCTCAAAATTATCAAACTTCAAGGCCTTGTGCAATTGTTACGAAACCGAATTTTAAAAAACTGTTATCACAGTCAGAAAGGGCGCTCCTTCAGCTATCTTAATCCGGGTTTTCGTCGGTCAATATCTATCGGCGTCATGCTTAAATCACCCTTAATGTCCATCCCTACACGCAGAAACGCTTA